AATTCGATTGCTCATTTATAGATACCACCTTGAAGTGTACACAATTACGTTATTGTACTTGTTTTAGCATAAAAACATTATTTCTAGCCAAATGCGTGCATTAATATTCGTGAATATATATTACAACTCTAAAGTGCGATGGTCACGCTAAAGTGCAATGGTCTACGCTAAAGTGCGATGGTGCAAAACTCTCAAGTGCGATGGTTGTTTGTTTTTTTAAGTGAGATCATATGACACGCTAAAGTGCAATGGTGTAGCGGGAATGGGGTTCAGGCAATGGTTTTTGTTTGTTCCTGTGTTCCTTTTAGTTTTTCGTTTTGTTTATAAATCAAGCCGTTATCTTTCTCTTTTCAGTTGTTTTACACTGGTTATAGTGTGGCCCTATATAGCTTGCTATACGGCGTGTGACAAAAATCCATGTTAAAGGTCGTGTGGTTATTTATACGTACATCAACGACATTTCGTCTTGGGTGGATAGTTGTCTCATTGACAATAATACCACATCTTCTTATTTTTATTTAAAGTACGATAGTTGTCAAAATAGTGTAAGGAGTACATTGCAGTAGCTAGTATGTACTTTATGTACCTGTCTCAAGCGAGGAATTTGTAATTCAGTGGTAGTCGTTTGTTGGTGTATTTCATATTTCGTTTTTCGTTTATTGTTTTTTTTTTGCATATAAATATGCGACTCATTTCACAGAAAAACTTACGAGAAACATTCTCGTAAGTCATGAACAATTCAGTATAACTTACGATCAATTTTTATCGTAAGATTTTTTGTGAAAAGAGCCCCAGGCCGTTATTCTTGTTTGTATTGTTTTACAATGGTCGTTTTTAGGCCCTGTGGTAAACACTAATTAACCAAAATCAATTTAACCTCTTCCGGCACCGACCAAAAATGTTTGGGATTGTCATCATTTGTTTCTCTCTTCATTTTTTCTTGTTTAATAGAAACCCTTCTATATTCATCTGGTTAACGTTGCTAACGTCCATTCTTTCGCGAACAAACGATCTTTAGCGTATTGTGGCATCGGACTTTAGCGTGTTCCATTAAATAGCACAGACCATCGCACTTTAGCGTGACCATCGCGTTGTAGCATCCCAATGAAGTATGTTAATAATAAAATATTTTGGAAATGGTAATAAGTGACGTCCAACCAATATTTCCCACAGAACGCAACGAAAAGTTAGCGTGGGGTGCAAATACAACTTCAAATAATCGACGTCATCAGTGACATAAGGTCTTTTTAATCGATTTTTAAGCTTTGCTATACAATAAAAGGGTTCTTGCCTGAATATTGGTGAATATTATCCCTGGTATAATATATATTGCACTTGCAAGCTCATGCAATTTTAAAATCTAGCCGGGACGTTCCCGATGACGTTGCATCAGAAGGAAGAAAAACCCCTAGATCCTTGCATTTTTTTTTATTAACATTAGAATTCGATGTAATAATGAGAATAACTTATCCAAGAATTTAAATACATGTGTCTTGACCGAACAGCAGTGATAATTCACTCATGCAATGCGTGTATTCTTGATTTAAAGTCATATGATACTTCAAATTAAAAAAAAATAAGTTAAATATGTGTTTATACTCGAAGGGCTAAGTTTTATTCTAAAACAAGTGGACTTTATTGTAAAATAATAATCCTTTATCTTATCAAAATCTTAAGAAATGTACTGCTTTTGAATTATTGTCATCCCGTACTCTAATTCGCCGATAGCTTTTCCGAATGCAGTGAACTTAATCACGTGACCTCTCGTTAAACCTTTGGCTACCGCACAGCGCAAGTGCGAGGGGAAACCGTGATGAAAGAAAGGGTAAACAAACGTCACTGGAAGGTAGATAATGTTGATTGCTTCTGAAAGAAAAAAATTAATACACAAAATCATTTTACAACTGCTACGATAAAGTTTAATTAACAAATAAAAATAGCAAATATATCTATATATATAGAAATAAATATAAAATCGCTCTATCAACTCACTTATTTTCACGTGCTCCATGATTCTTACTTGATTGTTTATTAAGTTCATAATCGGTAAACTTCGGAAACAAAACCCAAAAATTAATTAGTAGCTAATTTGTAAACTTTTTTTGCAAAAACCACTGAATGAAAGATTTTTTGTCGATTATAATACGTTATGGATTTGTAATAAAGGTAATAAAAACGTGCATAAAGGACATCGTTTTAGTATACATGTATATGCATGCATTAGTTCATAATTTCCTTATCACTATAATAAAAAGAAACTCGTTTCATATGACTTTTATGTGTTGTTCGGTCACTCTTTGGATATTTTTATATATTGAATTCTAACCGCCTCAGAGGTCTCGTGGTAGCGTGTTCGTCTCGAGTGTGGGAGCAGTGGCGGATCCAGAGGGGGGCGTAGAGGGCGTACGCCCCCCTTTGCTTGCACTTTTTTTTTGTTTGTAAAATGATTAATCAGACTAGACTTCGCGAACTTTTCCATTTCCCGTGTATTTTTATGCGACAATTCTTTACTTATAAAGATATTTTTCGCTCGTATTTACTGTAATATATTATTGATTATGTCAAAGTCATGTGATTCGCTACGGTGGAGTTGACCAGTACGTCGAAAAAACGTCACTCAGTCATTTTGAAATTCAAATTACAGTAACACATTGCTTAGGCTGATGATGACATGCATGACGCCTTCAAAGCGACAAAGTATTGAGCAATTCCACCCAACTGAAAGTAATACTCTATTACACTCTCATGAAAATTAGTTCCACAGCAATATCATTTACCTACGAAAACATGTTTAACCCCACACGCCCCAGCCCATTAATAACATTTTTTCTGAATAGTGATCCCCAGTCAGTAAGCTCTAGATATAGATTTAAAGTCTAAGGTACGGACCATTTGATTTGAGGGGGCAGTCTGAGATATTTTAGAGAAAACATTCTGACCCTGAATTTTGCCTTAAACAAAAATTCTGGCCGTATCTGGATTGAAAACAATAATCTTGTCCACTTTTTTGCTATTAGAAAAAAATATTTTCAACAAAATTATTTAGCATTAAATGAACATGATGAATAAAAAATGGGCGTAATTATTTTTTGGGGGGTTGCATGTGAATCCCATATCTGACCGGAATGTCTGTTTTGCCGAACTGATATACTGAATACTTTTTTCAAGGCCCGACTGCAACCTGCCTGCTGGGTGTCACTGTGGCCTATATGTCTCCATGTGTCGACCGTCATTCACAACTTCATTGTCATTTCCGACTCATTCGTAGCCTTTGGTTGATTTGGAACCCCTCACTTCCCTTGTTGGTTGAAACATTTCAACCAAACATTTGGATAAAAATTGCTTGTTTGTCTTTCTTCGTGTCGGTCGTATTGTAAATTTCATTGAATAGCCGTATATCTTGTTTACAGCAAGAAATCTGTGAGGTTATGCTAACTAACCATACAACAAACGAGAATTTTCCATGTCCATTCTTTACTGACAAATCCCACATCAAATATATTAATTAGTACATAGCTTTGGATCCATCCAATCATTTTATAATATACAATTAATGAAGAGAATACGGCACCAAAAATGTCCAACCCCTACACTTTAACTATAAAATGCATTTTACACTTATTTTATGTTTTTTAGCCAATAAAAGGTCCAAAAAAAATTTCGACTCGCTCCGCTCGGCGACCCTAAATACTACGCCCCCTTTCCAAAATCCTGGATCCGCCCCTGGGGAGGTCGTGGGTTCGAACCCCGGCCGGGTCAAACCAGACTTTAAAGTTGGTATTTGCTGCTTCTCCGCTAAGCACGCGGAATTAAGGAGTTAGAGCAAAGACTGGTCGGCTCGGAGTCAGAATAATATGTCCGAGTAAGGTGACGTCTTCCTGTGGACTGTAACCATGTGAACTAGCACGTTAAAAATTCGGCTCAGCATGTCGGTCTACTACAAAGCAGGGTTAATATTCATATTACATTAACATGTTCTCGTCCTGAAAATGCATATTAGTTTGCCGCTGGACATTAAGCAGCCATCTATCATCATTATATTGAATTCTATAAATTGGTTATCCCATTAGTATATAGTCCATTAATTATTTTATTATAATTTAATAAATGATTTTTCTACAACGTCCAACAGCACAGCAACAATAATGCTTCCTTTTATTAAGGAAGTTGTGAAGATTCCAAGTAGAATTTTTTCACCGTTCTCTGCAGTGTCAAAAAGGTTCCTTTCAGTCGAAGAGAGGGTCCATTTAGACTGTGTTCGATTTAAACACTTGACCAAATACTGTTCAATGGCAGATCATTTGAAGGGAATGCAACTTTATTTGTATCAGAGACTTATAATACAATTGTATTATATGTCTCTGTTTGTATTTACTGTCGAATGAAAAAATGAAGCTGTTTTCTTTAAACTGAATATTTCAAGGAGTCGTCTTTTCTGCCAACCAGAGTTGATTCATTTCAGCATATTTTTTTCTGTTATCACGTATAAGGAAAAGGACCAGACACAGTTATCGCAACTTGAATAGTCCCCACCTAAATATAAATTTGTTATAATGTGTAAGTAAATAAAGCCATGCAACAGCATCATTTAACATTTTTTTTATAAAAGTTTTTACGATTTAAGCATATTGTGATTGACACAGTAGACATTGCCGACAGTGTATGTTTGTTTGTTATATTTTCCCAGAAAAGTTTATAAAATGTTTGATGAGGTAATCATGATAAACAAAAATTTAGAGAAAAATGGCTTTAGTAAATAGCTTGTAGTTTTATAATAGACTGGACTTTTTCAACCGTAATATTTAAAAAGCAACTTTTATTTAACTACTTATCATAACAAATATATGACAGTTCATTGCATTGTATATTCTAAATATTTTAAATAAAGATCACTTTTAAAATCAAATATCCAAATGTGTATTCATCCTAGTGGTTACGATACTCATAGATTTAAAATTCTAGTTTACGCTCTATTTCAAACAAACAGTTACATGTAGTGAAATAAATACTATACATTTGTTTATGTACATAGATTTTACACAAGAACACGGATTTTAAATGAATAAAATACGAATCAATTCGTACGGAAACGGATATTCATGAGGATTTATAATTAATTCTTACAGTTGTCGTTTTGTTTTCAGCTTGTATTATTCCGTCTATGCCTTCTTACCTGCCTGATTTATATTGGTAAAGCTAACGTTTCAATTCGTTCCATCGATCGACAGTGGGTTTGTGTTATAAACAGCTATCTGTCTAATCCGTTGTCACATTGAGCGTAACACATGTTTCAGTGGAGAAGATCGTTGAGCGGAAAGAAGTGGATAATTTTTATGTACAAAAGTTTTTAAAACAAGGGTACATCCTACTGTGTGATGGTAGGGGTTGAGAAAACTCATTTTAGCATGGAAATCCTCAATACAGTCAAGAATGTAGGAAAGCATTACTGACACGTTGGATAAAAATTGTTCAAAATATTAAACTGTGCCTGTCAAGAACCGTTTGCCTAAAACATTTCAAATAAATTATCGCATGCTATATTAATCAAAATGGAAGAAACAAATGAAAACAAAGACCCCATATCTGAAAAGACAGAAGAGGAAAGTGAAAATAAACAACTGGAGTATCCAGTTCACCCATCAGATGTGTTACCAGAGGAAAGAGTCAATTTTTGGAAACTTTTTAAGGAGAACTGGTTGTCAATTCTTACAGACTGCCTGACTTTTGGAAGCTTTGGTATGGGTGTTGCTTTCCTAGGACCAACATTGTTTGATTTAGGATGTCAAACAAGCTCCGACCTAAAAGATATGAACTGGGTAATATTTGCTCAACTCATAATGACCTTGGTAGGATCAATTTCGGCAGGATGTTTGGCAAAGAGGTAGGAACATATATTTAATTTGCATGTTTTAGACAATATCAGTGGTACTTTATGCCACGTTGCAACAGGTTTAAAACCTGAAAAAAAAATCCACTTAAAGCCACATTCGTTTTACCACTTAAAGTATATGTCTGCGTCTTCGACAGCATTACCAAACTTAAAGTTAGCAAAATTATGCTGATATGATTTATGGATGCATTATAATAATAATATCAATAAGTCAGAATTTTGTAGTTGTATTGCAGTTATAATTAAACTATGAACGGAGCTACTTTAAATTTATACTGCTGCATCCTCTGTTATTAGAGGATATATGAACAAAAGAATATGTACAGTGAACGTAAATAAAACAGTACTTTACGACAATTAAATATATCGAATTTTGACAGAGCAAAGACGCTACGTAAAATGATGTCTTTTATAACATCACTATAATATAAAAATAAAGATGTTCCGTGCATGATTTTGGGATACAAGCATTACACAAATATCATTTTGTCGGGAAATAGATTTCTCTGGATTTTGGATTTATTCAAATTTATAGAATGTATGATTAAAAATGAATGTTAAACTGTATGACAATTCAAAATCTTTTACCAAAAAATAACTTGTTGAGAAATATTTTGGTTACTGGTCCCAATTATATCTTAATCCATAGTCTAGAATAAGGCAAAAGGGTTACATCCTCCTGTCTTTTCCCCTTCTGAATTCGTATTTACCATTTAGCTTGCAAATACGAGGTTTGAATTTCTACATTTGTTATACAATGGTATAAACCTAGAAATGATTGCATGTAAAGTTAATTTGTGCTTTTCATCGTATCTCTCATTACAGTGAACTCTTATAGATATAGTACTATTGATTGTTGTGAACCATAGCATCCATTGTACAGTAGTGCCTCGTGTAAATATATGAATTAAGAGTCAAATTAAAAATGCATGACATGACTTATGTAAAGTGCTAGAGGATAATAAGATGAAACAATTTATTCTATGATTTGGAAAATGTACAATGTATTGAAAAGTGCTACAAGTCATTATGAGACGTAGCTTAGTCTATGATTTACTAATGTACTATGTATGAAAAGTGCTACAGGTATAATGGAAACGTCTTATTCAATGACTAAGATTTTGGCGAATATCTTCAGACAATGTGTATGTACCCTGTGATAAAAAGATAGTTTTGAAATACAATTGTCTTATCTTTATTGAAAATACTGATACTTCCTTTAAATTGGTATAACAAAATTTATAATTGCAGTTACAATTACATGTATTAAGCAATTTGCCGCACCGATCAAATCATTTAGTATAATAAATGAATTAACACTTTTTACAGAGGATGACCTTGAGGTCACTCCGATGTATTGCTATCGCCTAAATTTCCATTATGCAAATTAGTTTTGGGATTTCAACCGATCTATAAAAATTATAGATCCGCGGTCATTACAAGGGAAAAAGGTGCATTTTTATACCTGCGATTCCGTTCTCCGTTCGTACGATGTTTCATCAAAAAATGGAATCATTTCAGTTGTTGATTTAGTACTGAAAATTTAACTGAATTATCTCCTTATTAAATACGGTTTTATATGTTTAATAGGTGTTTAAGAAAGAGGTCAGGTGCTCATGTTCATTCATAAAATTATCGTTCATTCATGAATTTATCGTAAAATCAAAATCACTACACAGGTCACACAGGTTGTATACGTAGTGTCAAAAGATTACCTGTATAGTATCTAAAAATAGACAAACTTAACTGACTCCCCTTACTGTAGTGTGTGATAACATTTTGTGAGGGAATTCGATGTTTGCTATACCACTGTTCATTTCAACGCACTTTATGACGATACCACTTTATCAATATGAATGAAATTTTTTGCAGTGTTTTAAGAAATAATTTTACTTTAAAATCGCGTATCATTTGTGAACCACTAAATGTTTTACAAGGACGAATTTTCTGCATAAAGTCAATAATTGTGTGAACTTTTGAAGCCCAAACTTTTTATAGCCTTAAATACGCTAATGAAAGATCCGAAAACTATACCCATACAGAACGACATGTTTTTGAAATTGTAGCAAAACTTTTGGTTGACAAATTTTAATTCGTTATTGCATAAATATTAACTTGAAATATCTGTCATTTTCTCCCTACCCAGTTTACCTCTATTACTCATTATGATGTGGACTTGACATTGTTATTGAATCTTATGCAATTTGATTGGATTAAGTTATTATTAGATTACCTTCAAACTGTTCATGCTTTTTCGTACGAGTATATTGATTAAATCAGAGCGTGCATGAATGTGTACAGAAAATTAAATGACCTGCAAACTGGACACTGGACCAGTCCATATTACGTTTTATCAATGAATAGATTTTTTTTTTTATTTCCCAAATTACAGGGCCCATAAAGGGCATAAAATCAGATACAATTGATTTACATAATTGGTAACAACAACAATAATAGCGGCATATAAATAGATATTTAGTATATAAGCATTGGTCAGAATCAGATGAACGAAACTTAAGGTATGAAAGGTAACAATTGCCACTTTTTATCTTTTCACATAATTTTCCACATACACATTAGATAAATTATTTTTGATAGCCTATTGCGGAGAAAAAAGAGAAAGTTTACTGTATTAACGTTCTATTCCATTAAATACGCCATTTTTCGAAGATAAATGCAGAAAAACATTTATGAACGGCTACGCCAGGTAAAATTGTTGTTTATCCTAAAAAAAATACAATTTTCAGTTTCATTAGAATATTATAATAATAATAAATCCCAAATTTATGTAGTCATTAGATAAAGTCCTTATATGTCCGATCTGCCTATTTTTGGACATCAAAAGACAATACGATCGTTTTAAGGTCAATTTCGTCTACCTCACGCAATCTTGTTAGGCACTATAATGAAATGGACCTGAAATTTATTTCACATGTTTCCTGAAAATTGATAAATATCAAAGCAACATAGAGCTGTTTGTTCTAGTTCGTATAATGACAATTTAATGTCATGTTTGTTTGTGATGACCCCCCCCCCCCCCCCCCCCCCCTTTTCGGGATTGCATGAGAATTATAGTTATCTCGTATCGCATGAGGATGACACATGTCAACTGAGCAATTATGTTTGGGACTTAGTTTTAAGGAATGATGTCAAAGTAACATTATGAAAATATTTTTAGTAAGCTGAAATATATATTTATTTTTTACATGTTTATGTCTTGTAAGATATTTTATTTCTGTCCCGTTTTTCAACATTTGCGTCTGGAAAGTTGAAATGTTTTAACTGAATGGTTAATTTAAATTAATTATGAAAATGGTTAAAATTAAATCAATAAAGGAAATTATTGCCCAGTTACAAACACTACCAGGGGATAATCCATAATGATGTTTTTTTCAGTTATATGTTTCAGCACATGTATAATTAACCCCAACTTTAGCCTGGTAAACTTGTTGTCTCCTTGTAAAATATAAAACATATTTAAAATGATTTCCTGCTAAAGTCTTATATTGATATAAAGTTAAAACCGTCTTGCTTCTCACTAGTCAACACTCCTGTCCTGTCAGGTTTAATTCTTATATATATGGATGAAAAATAAAAGTCCACAAAACATTAACATGGCAGCAATTGCTTTTACAGCCTTTAAGACTTTGATTTTTTTTTACAGAAGAGTGTCCACCATGCACTTGCATTACACTATAATAATAGTAGAATAGTATGATATACATATAGATGAAAATTATATATACATGCAACCGTAATATTAATATAATATATAACAACAAACCAGTGTATTCTCTGGAACTATTATTATATTAGTATAATAGTCTAAGGTATACTGATTTGTATCACTACAATATAATAGTTATTACGGTGAGGTTGAATTTCCTGTCATTTATTCATCATCCAAGCACGAACTTGTATAAGAAAAAAAAAATCTCTGTAAATTAACCTCAGTTTCAGGTATAGAGATGTGATCTGTTTCTGTGACATGTGCTTTTGACCATCCACAAGAACCTGCGGTCATCCGATGTTCAGTACTTCAGTACTTTGATTTTTCATATTATAGACGAATCGACGTGAATAACAATACCTATACGTGTAGGTTAATTGTAGCTTTGTTTTATAATTGCGAGACACTACATATAATCCTGAGTTACTTTACATTTGAAACGGATATGCATTTGTTTGGGTTGTAGTACCTGGATGCAGACAAATATTATGTAATTATATGTAATGTATAATATAATGTATTATATACTCGAAATAAACAGATATCCTATAAACAGTGTATCAGTCGAATAATTTTTTAATTGTTGCATAGAAATAACAGAGATACGTACTTCTAGAATTTATTTCATTCAAATCTTTGAGTATATTTTATGTTTAAAGTTGACATGAAGAAATTCTTTCCAAACCAAGTGACGATGTATACTCACTAGTTAACTTACAAAGCTTGTACATGTATGTTCATATATAATTTTTTTACCTTTACCTTGAAAGATCATTAAGGCAAATTTTTTCTTGATTTAAAAGAACGATAGCGAGCATATTTTTGTCACATATGCATTATATACAAGACAATAGCAGGTACATATTCAGTAGTTTCTATCCAGATTCTGTCCACAAAGAAAGACATTTCTATGACAGAGTGACATCCATAATTTTCATTATAAAACAGAAAATTAGAACACACTGTCAATGTTGAAGACTGTATGTTGCCCTTTAGATGTCTTTTATTGTTTGTGTCGTTGGGTTGCTTTCTCATTGCCTAGACCAAACCCCTTCTCCTTTCAATGTCCCATGTTGCACATGCATAACACGTTGAATATACCAATGTCTAAATAAGAAATTAAACACGAGTACGTTATATACTTGCTTTAAAATTGTTGTTGTAAGAAATATTTGTCACTGGACATTTAGCAAATAACAATTATACTTGAATAAACAGTTTATCGAGCATTTTTTATTTATACAGAGGTTTTTGAGAACCT